AAGGTGAATGTGATAGGATTTGGTGATTTATTTTATGTAAGGGGTGAAGGAAAGGAAAATGACAAGAAGTTGTGTCTTAGGAGAGGAGAGGTTGAATTTTAGGAATTGTGAAGTCATCCAATCATAAACAGAGGATAGACAGTTGGTGACACAGTCCATCAGATGGGAGAGAAAGACCAAATGATCATTGGGTCATATTGAAAGCCAAGCAGGGGCGGGCTGGGCCGGGGGGCAGGGAGGCAATTGCCCCCCAGGCCGCCCTAAGTCATTTGAAAAACAGCCGTTGCAGGGCCGGTCCTGGGTGCCGGGAGGAGGGGGTGCCACGCGGAGAATGCCAATGGCAGGGAGCCCAGCAGGTGGCCACCTAGAGCGCCCCGATAGCAAGGCAGAGTAGGCACTACTCTGCAGGAACATAATGGCCGTGTGAGGAAGGAGGCAGGCGGCGGCGAGGGAGCACTGCCTCTGCTGATGATCTTCCTGCTCCCTCGTGCGCCCTCTCTGGTGATGCCGGGAGACGGAATATGACGTAATTCCGCCCCCGCATCACTAAACTGCGCAAGGGAGCAGAGAAAGGACGCAGAGGACTCCTAAAGGTAGGAGCAACAAGGAATTTGTGTGTGTGTGTGTCTGGAAGTGAGTGTGTGTGTGTCTGGAAGTGTGAGTGTGTGTGTCTGGAAGTGTGAGTGTGTGTCTGGAAGTGTGTGTGTCTGGAAGTGTGAGTGTGTGTGTCTGGAAGTGAGTGTGTGTGTCTGAAAGTAATTGTGTGTCTGCCTGTCAGTAAGTGTGTGTCTGTCGGTGAGTGTGTGTCTGCCTGTCAGTGTGTGTGTGTATGTGTGTCTGCCTGTCAGTGAGTGTTTGTCTGTCAGGGTTTGTGTGTGTGTGTTATGTCAGTGCCAGTGTGTCTGTCAGCAGGGCCAGCCTTTGAGGTGTGCAAGCTGTGGGGTCACGTGGGGTGCCATGACAACAGAGGCGCCCGGTGGCCAACACAGCTCACAAGTTTTGGACACCAGCACATTAAAGGGACACTCCAGGCACCCAGACCACTTCTGCCTATTGGAGTGGTCTGGGTACCAACTCCCACTACCCTTAACCCTGCTAACTGCCATCCTGTTCTCCCTACATTCTGCTGTCCACAGCCACATGTTATTAAATATACCACATGGGTGGAAAAACAATTAATTATTGTTTGTTTGTTGTTTCTTACAACTCTTACACATTCACATGGATTAAAAAAAAATAACTCTTTTTTGGGAATATTTGTCCCTGAGGTGGACAGTGCAGATGCTTGAAATGCGAAGGGAGTGGATACCAACTATTGGTGATAGGTGTTTATATTATTTTAACCCTGCAAGTGCAATGCATTTGTTTTATAAGAAATGGTAAAATAACGGGGAGTGCTTGTGACAGACTGCCGTCACTAGGTACCATGCCCACTGTATTTTCGTGTGTTTTCCCCTTGTGTCGTGTTCCCTCTGTGTTTCCCCATGTATTTCTATTCCTTTCATGTATTGTGCCTATATATGCAGCAGCTCCGTAAAGTATAGAAGTGAAATGTAATGCTGCCTGTGTCTCTTTCCCCTTTCACTCTCCCTTTTCCTGTCACAGCAGAACGTTGCCACAGAGATACCTGCCAGTCCAGTTTAACCTAGATGCATTGTCCTTCCTCCCTCCCCCTTCACCTTCTTGGGATTGAAACCCCTATTGTTTTTGTGTTGGAGCCCCCATGTAGGGGTCTGTGTCTGTAAAAACCATGTGCACAAAATAAACCAAGTCAGTCAGTGTTGTAACTTCCAGAACTAGGGCTTGTCCATTTGGATGCGTACTTGTTGTAAGGGTTCCTGAACCGCTGAAGGAAGGGAATTAGCGGAGGTAACTGGTCAGGTTACCCGTGGTCCACTACAGTGCTCAACACCACAAATAAAACCTAAAGTGGATACTGTGACAAACGCTCCTTACCCTGGATGTTTCCCATGAACTCCTGGAGGACTGTAGAAGCTGGCCTCCTGCACACCGACTATGGGCCATATACATTGTGCCAAACTCACTATTTTCCCTTCTGTTCGCAAGACATTTCCCTCCTGGTTCGTGGTATATAGTTTCTCGAACAGAAAGACATTTCCCCAGTTCGGCAGTTACAATCTACCAAACACTGATCAACCCCCTGGCTCATTAACTTCAAATAAACCACAAAGTTAAGTGCTCTCTCTGTGTGGCCGCCATTTGTATAATTGAACAGCACGTGCTGGAGAAAATGGCGACTATCTTGTCGCAGGAAAACAGGCATCGAGACTTGGTCGTCGAGTGTCTGGAACTATAAGTCGGCCACTCGACCTCACGAACACGGCAAATTCACAGGAAAGCCTACTTCTTTCCACGGCAAGCCAGGAGAACGCTGTTCGGTAGGATTGTTCGCATGAACAAGGCGAACAATCATTACCTATGAGCCAGGGGAACCGTTCGTCTGTTTGTTCGTATGGAGCTCCTGAAAATGGACGACTGCTACCACTATTTTTCTGGAACTAATTTGGGCAGACGCCACGTGTGCGGTTGGTCAAAACTTTACCCCGGTGGCGATTCGGATCTGAACGCTATTTAGACAACTTGGGCACTCAGATTAAAATATATACATATATAAATATTTTTAATGACTTTTATTCTTTTATGGGCAAATATTGGTTTTGTATGCTGTGATGATACAGCCCTAATATCATCCGTGGGTACTTCCATTAACTTGCACAGCTGATCACTATACTAAGTGCTATGACCTGGGCTTGGAGTCTCTTTATTCACCAGCATTCACATTAAAGGGACTTTCCAGTGCCAGGAAAACATATCTGTTTCCTGGCACTGCAGGACCCTGCAGGGCCCCTCTCCCTCCCACGCCCCATCCCATGTTGCTGAAGGGGTTAAAACCCCTTCAGTGACTTACCTAAATCCAGCGCCGATGTCCCTCGGTGCTATGTCAGGCTCTGACCATGCTCCTCCCCCGCCGACGTCAGCCAGCGGGGGAGACCTAATGCGTATGCTTTCCTATGTGGATTCCAGCAACCCGGGAGGTCCTCATTCATAGCGTGAGGACGTCCAGCACCATTTAAAAGACTTTTTGTGTTCTAAGAACACGGAAGTTCCTCTAGAGGAGGACTTAACCCTGCAAGGTAATTATTGCAGTTTATAAAAACTGCAATAATTACACTTGCAGGGTTAAGGTTGGTAGGAGTTGGCTCCCAGGCCACTCCAATGAGCAGAAGTGGTCTGGGTGCCTGAAGTATCCCTTTAAAGCAAATCTTGGATACAGGGCCGGGCTGGGAATTAAAAGCAGCCCTGGAAAAGAAATATTTACCAGCCCCATAATGCATCGCACCAGCATAGTGTGCAGATACAGAGTTAGAAAAGATAACTTAAAATTAAAAATTATTACTCCAACATAAAAAAAGCACTTATAGGCTTCAAAATAAACAAAAGTGCAGATTTATTTTAAGCAGACGTGCCTTTGCATGTAATCAATGTTTCAGTCCAACTACCATGACATTTTAAGGAAAGCTTGGTAATGGGACTGAAATGGTGAATGTATGTAGGGCACAACTGTAAAAAATTATGTTATCTTGTTTATTTTGAAGTCCTGTGGGTGCGCTTTTCACTTTAAATATGTTATCGTGCTGGAGTATGCACCTAGCAACTGGGCCAATATCTGCTCATTACATATGGTACATATTAATGACATTTCTCTGTGTATTATGCATATATAAATGTACATTAATATATGTGTAAATATAATAGGCATAATTGGTTGTGGTTATGGTGCCAGCAGTGCCGGGACCCCCTCCCTGAGTAAGTAGTCAAACTGTTTAAGAACAGTTTGACAACTTACCTAGGGTCTGCTGGGATATGGGGCTGTAGTATGGTATCGGAGCAGTGGTGCAATGTGTGAGGGGTGCAGTGTGTGTGAAAGGTTCAGTGTGTGTGTGTGGGGGAGTGTAGTGTGTGCATGTGTAGCGTGTATGGGGCCATGTGTGTATGGGGGGCAGTGTGTGAATGTGTACGGTGTGTGTGGGGGAGTGTAGTGTGTGCATGTGTAGCGTGTGTGGGGCCATGTGTGTATGGGGGGCAGTGTGTGAATGTGTACGGTGTGTGTGGGGGCAGTGTGTGAATGTGTATGGTGTGTGTTTGTGGGGGCAGTGTGTGTAAGGGGCTAGAGTTCACTCTCACTACTGCGACCACCAGGAATCTCTGATGGTCGCAGTGGTGACAGTGAACTTTAGCCCGTAGCTCCAGGGCTAGAGTTCACCCTCGTGAGAGCTGGAGCGTTGCCGTGGTAACTGCGGCAATGCTCTGTGCTCGCGCAAGAAGGACCCAGAGGACCTGCAGGCTCTTCTGCCCGCACAGTGCCTGTGCAACGGGGAGGGAGATCGGCCGGCAGGAGAGAGCCTCGTGGGGGGGGAGAATTGCCCCTTTGCCCCCCCATCCACCTGTGATATATAGAGCCCCTACGTGTGTCTCTTTTTATCTCCAGCCCCTCTGTGTGCCTTTTTGTCTCCCCCCCAGTCCCTCTGTATGTTTCTTTCTCCCCTCACTGCTCCTCTGTGTCAATTATCTCCTTCTCAGTCTCTCTCTTCCCCCTCTGTCTCTTTCTCTCCCCTTTCCCTGTGTCTCTCTCTCCCCCACATCTCTCTTCCCCTCTGTCTCTTTCTCCTCCCTCCACCATCTCTCTATTCCCCCTCTTTCTCCCCCATCTCTTTATTCCCCCTCTTTCTCCCCCTGTGTCTCACTCTTCCCCCTCTGTCTCTTTCTCCCTATTTGTCTATTCCCCCTCTCTGTTTTATTTTCCCCCTCCCCTTGTGTCTCTTTATTCCCTTTCTCTCCCTTCCCCCCCATTTACCGAGAGAAGTCAGGGGGGCCAGCCGCGTTCCACGCTGGAGCCACCGGGCCGGGTGGCAGCCTCGCCGGTCCGGCGGTACTCCTGTCACTGATGCTGAGGATTGAAGGAAGAGGGAGGAGCATGTCTCTCTACCATGCTCCCTTGCAGTTCCCACAATTCCCATCACAGTATGCGGTATGCTGTGCTGGGAATTGTGGGAACCACAAGGGAGCATGATAGACATGCTCCTCCCTCCTCCTTCAGTGCTCAGCATCAGTGACAGGAGTGCCACTGGACCGGCGAGGCTGCCACCCAGCCCGGCGGCTCCAGCGTGGAACGCAGCTGGCCCCCTCTGAGTGTGTCAACGGACTGGCCAGCCAGTGGCACCTATATGCGCAGCACAGCACCCAGATGCCGTGGCCCACCGAGAAATATCCCGGTATCCCGGTGGGCCAGTCCGGCCCTGCTTGGATAGTTACAGCAAAGAAAAAGGCAATCGGCTTCTTTCTTGGTACAAACAGCAACTGCCTTTATTTTTACTTCACATCAGGATATACAAACTACATTTCCCTTCCCCCATCTGCAAGTCCACCTTAACAACAAAAGCATACCTAGATCAACCAGGCAGATATCTCAGCATGGGGGGAGGCTCTGCATCTTGTGCCATGTGACACATTAAAGTCTCTTTTTGTCACATATGCAAAAGTTAGTTTTTTGGGAGCTTATTTTTTGATTAAGGTACTTGCACATAAGACAGTATATATGGTGTTACCAAGATCAAACAAACATGTGACGTCAAGTATAGTAACATAAATTATATCTTTTTTTGAATAAGGAATAGATTCGTAGCAAAATAATAAGTGTAACTGTGATGGGATTTCAGCTAGGCCCAAAATTTAGTAGGCCTAAAATCTCCATGTGGCATATACAAGTACAAGTATCTGTTAGTTGGTTACATGTAGCTAAGATACTGTCATCATGTGAAAGAACTGAAACCACATTTGATTGTCCTAAAGGGCCATGTTGCCTGTCCATATAAGGTAATCCTGTGTATCCTGTTTGCTGAATGGTGTAAGGGTACAGATGGGGGATGCATAGCTTATAAAAAGCTTCTACTCCATGTGCTCAGTGCTCAGACCTTTTGAACAGGAGTTCAGCTGAGACCCGGTCGGTGAAAATAAAAACCTTTACTTCCTGAAAAGTCCTGTGTCCAGACTCTCTGTGCATGGCTTCTTCAGTGTTACCCGGTGAAGGGTTAAACCCGACACATTGTCTGTTTTCATGCTGACTCTATTTTGTCACAAGACATACTTTTAACTACCTCATTTCCTTTGAATCCTGTGATTTTGTATTTGGCTCGATGCTCATCATTGTTTTGCGATTTTCCGTCTGTTAGTAGTTTCCTTCACATGCTTTTAGATTAAAATAGGACATTGTCTCTTTGCACGCAATCTGTATTATATAAGCAATGTAAATTCTGCCATTAAACGAGAAACCTTTGAACAGCTGACTGTGTGTCATCTTCGTGCTTTCAATGGTATCCCTCAATATTGAAGACAGAGCAGTGAATATTCCAAGTGGCGGACAGCAGACGCTGAGATAGAGGAGAAAAACACTTCCAAGGGAGAAAGATCGATTAACCCTTTCAGCTGGTGGTAGAAGTGGGATGCAACCAGGAGAACTAAGGGGTAAGTGTCTTGTGTCTATTTGACACTAGATCCCTATGCCCCTGGTCTCCACATTGTTGCATCCTTAGGTAGAAAGAGTTGTGAAGTGTTTTTCTCTAGGGGTCTGCGGCAGACTCATGAATAGAAATATATATATATATATATATATATATATATATATATATATATGCCTACGGTAGGCTAGGGCTGCAGTAGACCATATGGGAATAGAAATTTATATATATGCGCCTGCGGTAGACCATATGGGAAAATTTATTTAAACCTAGGTTGTTTATCAGGTCCTCCTCCACCTTTTGGATTTTTGCTCTCTGTATGTCTTGCATGTCATATTGTATTGTAAAGAAATATTTGTTTTGCAATAGGCAAGGAACTGTCTTGGTAAGTGACAGGTTTCTTGTCCTTGAGCCACGGTGTGGACATGGGAAATTCCCAATCTGTCTCCTACTGTCAACCACACCCTGGGGAGTCATGTTTAAATTATGTTACCAGAGTAGGAGCCTAGGGAGGATTTTTAACTGTCCCATTTGTCACTAATTTAGCAGGATGAGGAAATTTTGTTAGCAGCTATTAATTCTGGCATAAGGCATCATATAACAGCAGAAGAAGAAGATAGTTCTGAAGAGGGAGATGAAGAACAGGCGTCAGGGCAAGCCTCAGGAACCAGCCATAAAGCTCCCCCTATTAAAATTAGTGTCACTAACACACCAGGCATGATATTAAAAAAGTGGTAAAAAAATTAAAACTACCTCTATAAAGACTGGTAACACAGATGAGACAATAGGTTCCTCCGTCTTCCCATTTTTAACAGTAGGAGACCAACTAATAATGAAACCCTTGAATCCTATTGTTCTAAAGGACATCATTCAAGGTGCACCCAACCCACGTTCTAACCATGCTGCATGTTTAATGTATTTAAAAAGAATGTGTCAAGGGCAAAACATGACGCAGATAGATATAAAATTAATTATTGATGGTATATTGGGGTATGATCCAGATTAAGGATGGGATTGGTCTAAGGTTCCCTCGGTGTCTACTTTGGACTCTAGCACTACCATAGGTGGTGAGGAGCCCCATGTATTATCCACACAAGAGGGGCAAGATAAAATGTGGGGAGAGATAACAACAGAAATGTCTAGACTATGGAAGGATAAACAGTCTATGTCAACAACTTTGGCATGTAAACAGGGTCAGAAAGAAAGTGTATCAGAGTTTGTCAAGAGATTTTACAAATGTTGGAAAGAGGATGCTGGTTTGAAATAAGGCGAGGAAATGGATCCATTAAAAATTCAAACTCGTTTGGGAAACATGTTGCCACCATATTCTCTGCTTGTCAAACAATTGATTTCAGAATGGCCAGGATTGTCTAGTAAGGATTTCCTTGTTAAAATTGTGGAAAAGACAATGCAGGATGTTTTGACATAAAGAAAGAAGGTAGCAATAAGGTGTACTATAATCAAGGATTGTAACATTGCAACCCCTCTCAGGCTAGAAATAGAGGTTTGGACAGAGAACATAGGATATACCCGAGAGGAGGGCAAAGAGGCATAGGCAGGGGATTTGGAGGCCCTGGAGGTTTGGACAGGTTACACTGTTTCAATTGTGGCAAAGTGGGCATTGGAGAAATGAGTGTTTTTTCTTTTCGATTTATTCCTGGCTGTCCTGTGAATCTGTTAGGGGGAGACCTCCTTGGTATTATGGGCGCTATTGTCTGTACTCCTGCAGGTGATATTGATCTTTCTATGTTGTCATCTACCCCGGATTTGTCTAGCATTTCTTCCACTGTGTGGGCATCCTCCAAATTGGATGTAGGTTTTGTGAATTGTACCCCTTACAGAGCTAAGCTTAAACCTGGTATCACACCCATATATCTTAAACAATACCCATTGTCAGATCAAAAGAAGGCTGGTATTCATCCTATGATTCAATCATTCCTACAACAGAGCATATTGAGACCAGTAATCTCACCATACAACACTCCTATCAATCCCGTACCAAAGAATGATGGTTATAGGTTGGTACAGGATTTTCGAGCCTAGAATGGCTTAATTGTACCTATTGCACCTATTGTACCAGATGTAACTACTCTTATTACAACCATTCCACATGTTGCCACCTGCTTTACTGTTATTGATCTCACTAATGCAGTTTTTTCTATACCTATAGGTCAAGAGACACAAATACTTATGGCTTTTACTTTTGAAGGCTGTCAGTATATGTGGACACGCCTATGTGGATTCACCAGCTGTTTATTCTCTGGTGCTCCAACAAACTCTCAAAGCATGGACCCCCGGCCATGGTTCATTCCTCCTTCAGTATGTCGATGACTTACTGTTCTGTAGTCTTAGCTGGGAGGAGTTCATTGCAGATTCACTTAGTTTGCTCCTACATCTTGCTGCTGAGGGTCATAAGGCTGCAAAGCACAAAATGTAGCTCTGCAAAAAAGGGTCGATTATTTGGGGTTTGTTCTGGCTGCAGGCACCAGACAATTAAGCCCTAAACGCATTGAAGCCATTCAGAGAATCCCTAAGCCGGCTATACGAAAGGAGTTGCTCTCCTTTCTCGGTATGATTAATTATTGCCACCAGTGGATTCCTGAGTGCTCCTATCATGACTCTATTTTGAGGCAAGCGGCCAAAGGTGATAGCCCGGATACTGTTGTTGGTCCCCAGACATGACTGCATCTTACATTGCCCTCAAGGTTGCTATTGTCCAAGCCCCAGCACTAGGACTACCAGATTATTGTAAACCTTTTCATTTGTATTCGAGGGACAATTGTAAAACCATGGCCCCTGTCTGTGCACAAGAGCATGGAGGTGGTATGCGTCCCATAGCATTCTTTTCCAAAGTAGTTCCTGTGCCGGTAAAGGGGATGCCAGCATGTCTCAGAGTGCTGGCAGCATGCGCCATGGCTGTTGAGGGAGCTGCTACCATCACACTACCCACCAGGTCACTCAGCTAATAAAAAACCTAACTACCCAACATATGACAGCCCAGCGCCTTAGTGGTTATGAGATTATTCTTCTAAACACCCAGAATCTCTCAATAGTTTATAGCCCTCTTACCTCAGGCCCCCTGGCTATCTTACATGCTATTCTCACCTCTGGCTCCATGGACTCTCCCCTTCCCACAGAACCACATGACTGTATCACTCAAATCCACATCACAACATCCCCCAGACCTGACTTCTCCTCCACTCCACTCAGTGGATCTGATGTTTCCACTGTTTTTGTTGACGGTTCCTGTTCCCACCCTAGCAATGGAGAATATCTCACAGGTTATGCTGTAGTTCAGTTACCTGATGTTATCCTTGAATCCTCAACTATCCCTCACCAATCAGCCCAAGCTGTGGAATTAGTAGCTCTAACTCATGCCTGTCAGTTGTTTACTGGCAAACGTGTTAATATCTATACTGATTCCAGATATTCACATGGAGTTGTACATGATTGTAACGGACCGTTTTGCCCAAAAGAAGTTAAAAACCATTTAGGCGATATTCCCCTTTTTCAGCTGCACCGACAGCTACTGCAAGCACCAATCTCCTGAACTGCAAACACACA